GCAGCAAAAGGGGGGAGCTCCCAAGTAGTGCCAGTGGCTTATTTTCCCCTATTCCGCTTTGCACTGCAAATTCAAAACTAATCCCCTGTAAGATGTCCACACACACCGAGCATTTCCTCTGGCCATTAGCCATTAGCCAGGCAGCCGGGCAGCCTCTCGGCGGGGAAACGGAGGCACCAGACCAGAGATGGGTGATCGCCACTTCCTGGGGACACAAGCGCACGATCCGCGGCCGTCGCTGTTAATGTGTGACTTTTGCTGTGTTTTTCAACGACATTAATTTTGTGTGCTGGATCTTAAGCCGGATTTAGGTAAGCAGCTCAGCGATCGTCGACGAGCAGCAACAGCAGCAACAGCAGCAACATCGTCGTCGTCGCATTAAAAACGCTTCCAGACGCTCCAGCTTTGGTCACATTTTGTTGGGACCGCTTAGGAAATATAATCCCTTTTGTCGATGCCAGGCATGATCGCCGCTTACTCACTGCGATGGCAATGGCTACAGCGATCACCTGTTCGGTATCGATATATGTAGGTATACTACCCATACACTTCGGTCTCCATCTCGCGCTCTTTATAATGTGTCGCACATTAGTTAGCAGTTAATACTTTAAATAAGACGAGGTTACCGACATTTTGTCTGTGTGGTTGGGCTTTAAAGAAAATATGCTGGGAAGCCGATTGTCGCTGTGACTTGTAGAAATCACCGTCTGCTGTGGCGGCTTATGATTTTCAACGGGGCGTATTAGTGATAACTAATAAATCTTCAGCGTCCCCAAAAATACCTTCGTGTAAGCTCCCCGCCATCGTCATCGTGATCAGAACTTAAGTTTATAATCACAGAAACGCCTCAAACTGTCTCTTATAAATATATAAAAAAAACACCATATGGAATACATGTATACTATATATATAGATATATGAAATCTCTGCGATATTCATTTCATTTCCACTTGTCTCAACCCACTTGTCATAATTCTATAAACATTCGGAAATTTATGTCCGCGGGAGATATACGGATTTGGCTGGCCTGGTCTATATAAAAATAGTTGCAGAGGGGACGGGACGGGAACCGATTTTCAGACAGTCTCGTATATCTACGGGGAACAAGCTAAATCCACTAATTAAGAATGAAAAAGGTGACAATGGGGGAGGCAACAACATTTGGAGATGATGATTCTCGAAATGCGTAAATTGTATAAAATTCGATTTGGATTCTGTTTTTTCGTGTTTTGTCACAGCCCGTGCATTCCGATTAAGCTGAATGACAAATGCCCAAACAAATACAGAGAGACAAACGGATCCAGCCGCCCTACAAATTAATTACTCAAAAAGTTGTCACACTCATTTCGAACTTTTCCGCCGCTTTTTTCCCCAGTTTCAGTTTCAGTTTCAGTTTCGGTTTTTGGTTCTTGTTGTAGTTGTATTCTTTTTATCAGCTTTCGGTTCGCCTTAAGCTACAAAGCCTGAACCGCTTTTATCGCAATGTCTTACAAATCGTTTTATCAAGGTGTCATTAGCTGCGTGCCAACAACAACAACAACAACTGCCGAAAGGTGTTCTATGATAAGTGCAGAAAGGAAAACCTCAACAAGTCGAACACGTTTCGTTGATTATCTGAGGAGCCGCAACGCGGAGGAGAGAGCTCTGACTCTGGCGGCCCCTTTGAAAGTGATTCCGATTCCGGCCGGGGAATAGAAAAACCAAACATGAACACACACACACTCTGGCAAAAATCGATCACAAAATATAATAGAATAGTAATAGTGGCAGGGAATTGATTTAAGGTCTGCTCTGCAAGTGCCAAAATACTCAGAATGAAGAAACTGACAACATGTAATTAACTTAAAGCGTTTTTTAGTGTTTTTTGATATTCCTGCCGCTCTCTATGATCATCGAGTAAATAGTATCGAGTACTTGGAAGCTCTTAGTTTGATTGAATCGAAGCTGTGAGTCAAGTCTCAATCTGTATCTGAATCTTTGAATCTGAATCTGAATCTGACTCTGAATCTGACTCCGTATCCGAATCAGAGGCCAAGTCCGGCGACTTATGATAATAATCATTATAAATTATTATAATCCAATCGGCTTTGAATAATTAATAAATACGAGATACGATTGTTGTGGCTGTATATATATATATTCAGATATATATATATATATCGCTCATACGCAAACTCAGCAAAAGGCGCATAATCGGGCCGTAAAAAGCCGCTCAGCTGACAGATCGCGGGGCTGCTGTGAAAGCTTCGAATGAAATGCTAAAAATGTGTTACAATCAACAAAAAAGCAGCGCTAAGGAGATCGAGATGGTTTGGTAGGGGAACAAGACTAAGCCCGGCTAAAAAGAACCGAGTTGCTAGACCTCTAAGGAAGAAAAGAAAGCCAAAAAGAAGTCAGAAGGCGGGCCTAACAACGGCCACAAAGATGACAAACAGTTTGGACATTTATGAGCGGCATTTAATGGACATTTGACTACCGGAATTTAACGAAACCGAAAACGTGGGAAGGGGCTCTGCTCTGGCAGAAGAATGCATTTGATTGGGACTCCCAACTCCGACTCCGCCTCCGACTCCGATTCGATGCGCAACCGGATTAACCCCGATTATCATTAGTCTTGGTCTGGGGAAAAGGCGATGCGACCAAGGAAATGACTTTTCGATGATCATGGCGGTGAGCAGGAAGCAGCGGCGAAGAAGATTTCAATTAATAAATATTCCATTATCTAAGACCCAACCCTACTCCTCCTCCTTCTCATGTCCCCCTAACACTTTCAGATTAGACAAAATCGAACCATTTATAATTTATAAGACCTAAAGGCCTATCTCCCTGACGAGGTGATCTAACCATGTGCGAAGAGCCATGGCATTATTATCTGTTTCCCAAGTTTGATTTCGATATTCTCCCCCCTCGAGAAAAAATAAAAAACCCAAATAAAATTATCACAACAATAAAACTAAATGCTTTATAATTAGTTTTGCAAAACCAAAGAAGTCACTCAGACACGCACAAGGCAGGGGGATTTGCTATTGAAAATGATTTGTTATAGTTTACGAAAGAATTCCACATTTATTTATACCCATTCTGGCCATACTGGTTTATTATCTGGCCGCCTCCCGAGCCAACTTACGCCGCCTTATCTTAATCCCATTCACTAAGCATATGCGTCGACACATTAAACTGTCAAAAAACAAATAGAACTGAAAAAAAAAAATAGAAAACAAAAAAACCAAAAAGAGATGAAACGAATCGAAGTGAAGCCGAAGTATTGAATGCTCTTGGAAATTGGAATCAAGTATTGCGAAATAGAACTTTACTATACTCCAGAGAAAGATGGAACCTATATTAGTCACACTTTTAATTATAGACATTTCGAAATCAGTTTTAGCTTATCGAAAGGGTAAGACTCAGGCCCACTTGGAGCTCTTGGACGAATAATAAATCTCAGGGGATCCATTGAGTTAGATTTCGATTCCTTAGGCACACTTTAAGCATGGCTATATACTATATGCAGATGGTATAATCTTCCGCTGGGAACTTGGCGATTAGAGAACACCAGTAATTCCCCCTTGGCAAAAAGGGTATTTGAAATTACAAGTATACTGTTTGTTTTCGAGAACTTTTTCGATTTGGCCCGGACAATAATTCTTGTGGCATGATTTCTTGGCTAAAAGACAATGGCGGCGGGTTCCCAGTTTGAGATTTGAGATTTGTTTAATATACAACACAGAAATATTCGAAATCAATGGGAAATAAGATCCATAAATTCTTGGATTAGTCAGCCCCCCTCTTCCGGGGTTTTTGGTTAACCGTTTTCGGAGCGATATCAATGGGTTGGAGCAGACCTCGGTGCCAGATAAATAGTAATTACACTCACACAACATAATCAATTATGTCTGCTAATAAACCGACGGACGAACGCACACACACAAACACACCCAGATATCTGGACATGTGTCCGAGAAGGGTATGGGTATCGGAGGTGGACTAATCACGCCAGCATGTTCATAATCAATTTTATCGCACTTATTTGGATTAATTGCGATATCGCTGACAGGGGCAGCGATAAAAAGCGGCGCACAACGATGACGCGCTGGCAAACCCCAAGCCTCAAAAAAAAAAAAAAAATTAGACTTCCATCCCCATGCCCTTTACGGGGTATGTAGTTACCCACAACTCCATACCCAAGTTCACCATTCCCGATATCTAGGCTCGTCACCGCCTTATGCCGAAATTACCAGTTCCGTCGGGATTATCTTATCTGTATGGCAAAAGCTCCCCCTCTGCCAATGGAGTCAGTTCGGTTTTGGGGATCGGCTTTACAATGCAATTAGCGGCCGAACACAGGCTAGGCCCAGGGGCTTATCGCAACACCGATCTCGAAAATCTCGGCCGATAAGGATTATCTTAATCTGCATAAATAGCGAAACGAGCACATATCTACACCAAAGGCCTTATCACAAACGCTGGGCCATATGTTTGCCTTCAACTGATTCACTCTGGGATCGGGGTTTGGGGAGTTACTGCATACAGCAGAGGTCAGAAAATAATAGTCAGTTACTGGGAAGTTTATATGCTATATTTAATTGATCTCTAAAATATTTATTTTGAATTGAAAATTAAAGGAGGAAAATAATTATCTTCTTGAAGCTCTTAAATATTGTTCCTAATAAAACACATTTAATATAATTCAAAATCTAATAAATTTACAATATTAGAAAATTCAGATAAAGGTGTAATAGAAAATTCAAGTACTTTTACTTTATAATCCTAAAAATACTCAAAAATATATTGTACTGTACTGTAAGTTTTTATTGTTCCCCACAAAGCTTTCTCCAGTGCTATCTTCTTGACCCCAGCTGTGTGACAAGCTCGATCTCTGACTAATGACTGTGAAGTGCCGCCGGCAATGTGGAGCAGATCTCACTACACTCAAGATTGGAGTTTTTTGAATGGAAATCCAGATCGTAGATCGTAACAATATAACTGTTGGTAACACTCACCTGCTGGCCGGCATTGGCCGCCACCCAGGCCTCGGCGAAGGTCTCCATGGCGCTCTGGAAGTCCATCTCGCTGGCAACTCAAAGTTCTAATCACTGGCACGGCAATTGGCGTATTTCGTTCTTTTATGGCCAGATGCAGGCGCTTTGGCATTAATTGCAATTCGGGATGGTTCGCTGTGATTTATTTGATTTACTTGCAATTTACGAACGCGATAAGGAAGGGAGTTCTCCCGCTCGATTTTGATTTCTCACCTTCTATATATGTATATTTTCTTGTATTTTGTTTTGTTTTGTTTTTTTTCTGGACGCAAATTAGACACACGCACACACACTCGCGCAACCGCACACACACTGAGGTAAAGGTAAAGGTAAAGGTAAAACGCGCGGTTTCTTCTGGAACGGTGACGGATTCGATGACGCCAGTTGCAGTTGCCTCTGTACAAGTCCAAATGGGTGTTGTTGGGGGCGACGCGACATCATTAGTGCCATGAAATCGGGAGCTGATCGCGTCGCTGCGTCACCAGGACTGGCAGCGTGTCCAATGCGCGGCAATGCAAATACAGCAAAGGTTCTCGTCCTCTCAGCACAGCCAGCGAAGCGTTCAGGCTAGCTCGGGGCTACGGGGCTTGCAGAGTCCTTTGGCTTATGCCGCAATAGATCGATCTCCTCCTGGCTCAAGGGAATCTCCTCGCAGGTGGTGACTAACTGGTGACTGGTGAGCGGACGCGTCAAGACATGCTCAGCTCAAGTTGACAACTAACGGCATTCTTTCGCTTTCGCACATTCGCCTGTCGTGCGCTGCCGGCGTCGCAGTCGGTAGTGCCGGTGCCGGCACTCGGTCTCGTTCTCAACCTCAACCCTCCATTTGACCTGCCTGTTGGTGTGCGTGAGAGAGAGAGAGAAATGCAGAGAGAGCTGGCCGCTCTCTGGGCTGCCTATGTGTGTGGGTCTCAGAAATTGTTAACAAGGTGGTGCGAAATAGTAGTAGATAAGCAGTAAAGATATATAGCGAGACTCTAGGTTGGATTTATAATCATTTTTAAGTGGATTCTATCAATAGGATTTACATTTAGAATTTAATTTCGAATTTTTTCTTCGAAACTTAAAAGAAGTCTAATTGAAGCCTGGTTTCACCTGTTCCGTGAATTCCTTGCAATGGTCAAAGATGGCTACGATCATTTTCAAATAATCTTATTGTTACTAATCAGACTCGAACATTAAAAAACCTTAAACCCTAGTGTCTCCCAAAATATATTCTCCACTTGGCCAACAGTAAACAATTTTCTTAATTTTATTCTCTATTTTCTTAAAAAGAAAAGTATTCTATAATGAAATATCAAAAAAGGGATTCAAAAAGGTTTTAGTAGTAATAGTAGTAGAAATACTACCTAATTCGATTCTGGAGAGCGGAGCCAGCAAATGGGAGTGCTTGTGTGCGTTGGTGTGCGACCAAAACAAAGCACACACACAGGGTCAGAGAGCATGGTGAGAGCATGCTTTTTGGGAGAGAGCCAGAGAGTGGCTCTCAGTCGCACTCACACATAGACGGGGCAAAACCTGTTCCGGCGCAGAATTGCACTTGTCGTCGTCGTCGTCGCTCGCTGGCTTCGCCCCCAATCCCCCAACCCATGTCTCGTCTGCGCGTTTTCTTTTATTTTTTGTGCGCTGTGGCGCTCAATGGATTTGCTGCAAATTCGGGTGGAATTATGCCACACACACAGGGCCACGAGCACCAACACACACACACTCGTATCCCTACACCGTGTAGAGTGGGCGTGGGCGTAAGCTAAGCAGGTGCGAGTGCGAGCGGTGCGGCAACTGGGTATTCGGGTATTCGGGATGAAAGAGTAAATCGTGCTTATTCCCCTCGAGGCGGGGGAGTGGCGACACCCACTCGGCACTTGGCACCTCCGTCAATGGTAAATGGCGACGGCCTTCGTTTGGCACTCGGCAAATCGCACACGAAGTGGATTTCGTAGAACCGCTGGTGGGTGAGGCGAGGAGGAAGTGGCTTCCCCCGGAAGACAGGAGATAAGAGCGCAGATAATGCGCGCGCATTACATGTGATTAGGTGTCCGTCCGGGCGACAGGATTTAGCCAACCGCGTTCGAGTAACTGGTAAATAGGATTTCTATATACAGAGCTGCTAGGAGAACGCAAAGAAACTGGGAAACTGGGTGGAGTTACAGTGGGGTAATACATAATGATCTAGGGATATGTTATTGCTTATGGAAAATTCTAACAAAACAAGTTTTTACTGCTGGGGGTCCTCCATTAACCATAGTATAAATATACAGTGAGTTACGAACAAGAAAGTACATTTATCAGAAACAGAAGGATAGGAATATCTCCTTTAAAGCTAAAATATTACTTAAAATCCCCAAAAATGATATATTGCAAATAAAATCCCTAACTTTTCTTAGACAACTTAAGAATTTTTAAACCTGAACTTGGATTATCCTTGAAATAATCATGATTTATCCAATATCCTTATCCCTTTTTACTTCTCCACTTCCCCAATGCGCAAGCTCTTCCTTTCTCCCTCTCGCGTGCTCTCTCTCCCTCGCTCATCTATATCGCACTCCCTCGCTCGGCTACTCTCTCACACTTACACACACACACACACACACATACCCAGTCGACTGTGCTCGCTCTCTCTCTGTCGCTCCCATGGCCTCGTGCCAGAGCGAGATAACCCATCGAAAAAATTAGAGCAAAGAGAGATGAGCAAAGCGTAAAACGCAGGCGAAAAGCGCCAAAGAATACGAGATACAAAAAAAGAGGAAAAACACGAAACGAAATCAACATAAAAAGCGCCGGCAAACCAGTTCGGGATAGACTCCGCCCCCGTCGCTCGCTGATTGGCTAAGCGAGCGCTTTGCCCCGGCGACTTCATCTTGTTCTTATTTCCTATATTCTTTTTCCCGTTGCTCCGAGACTGCGGTTTTATCGCCTCCCACCCCAGTTCTCTGCTTCCTACCTTCCCCACCCCACGGTCTTTCCCTGTCCTTTATGGCTCTCTCCCACTGCTTCCGACGTTGCCGTTATTTGCGGAGCTTTACGAAATTTCGGGGCTCAACATCTTTTGCTGCTCTTAGCATTTTAGATAGAAACCCGCACACACACACACACACGTACTGCCACAGAGGAGCATCCTTTTATGTGGCACACAGATACATTTCCATGTGGCATGTAATTCCAGCTCCTGAATAGAGAAACTTAATTAATTCCCCAGCATAAGTCAAGTTAATAACCCAGCTGCCAAATAAATATATAGTGTAATGTTTAGATAGGATTATTTTAAGGATGTGGGAGGAGATATTTAAGCAATTAAAACTTGTAAAAAAATGCAAAAAATTGTACATCACTGAAAGTTAATCTCTATATATTTAGTTTTCCAGCACAAAGTAAACTAAATAAGACAACTTATATTTATATATAATCTCCTCTGATGTGGTTATCAGAAAGCTGATCAGAAGCTGAGGCGATTTGGCCTAAAATACATAGAAGTTTTAATTTGCTAAATTTATAAAACCCATAATAAGATTTTTAATATAAGAAAAATCTAAAATCACGTAGTTTTAGCTTTAACATTTTGATCTCGTCCTCAAATTAACAGACGAATATCGATTTAAAGTCCCTAGATTCTTCATATTCGAAATCCTATAGCATCTTCGACATACTATTCGCAATCTTCATTAATACTTAATAAAATATTAACAAAAATAACAACAACAACAAATTAAGCAAGAATTTTATCAAAACTAACTAAGTTTCATAAATTGTTGGCTAAAATCTCATTTCCGACCCTATAAACCATATATATTCTTGATCAGCATGAAAATCCTAGGCGATCTAAACAAGTTTTACCGAAAAAAAATTTGAGTCACATTTTTTTTTAATTTACATCGTTAAAATTTTCAAAAATTAAAAGAAAATTTGAATTAAAAAAAATTTTTAAAGTAGAAAAACTATCAAAGGAAAGCTTTCCGAATTAAATTTAATGCATATTTGGCTCTGATTTCTATAAAAAATAATATATAAAAACAAAGGTAAATATCTATGAAAAAAATAATCAATACTGTTTACCTATCTCTTTTACTTGCAACTTTATAAAAGAGTGATTATAGACTAATAATCTAATAATAATAATAATAATTGATTAACTTTAATATACATATATATGTTCCTTTAACCTTTCACTTATTGTTGTAAAACTTTTCCTCTAAAGAATTCTCCCCATTGGGATTTTTGCCTTTTATGAGCAAACACATTCGCATTTCCGGTTCGATGACATCTTTTGGGCCACCAAACGCGCTGCCAAAAATTTTCCAACGGGCCCAAAATAAACCCATGTGTCTGAGTGGCTGGCCGCCCATTCTGCGAACGTAAATTATATTTACTGTTAGCCAACTCATCATAAACTCCCAGCTCCCTCCCCCGCAGCTACTCGCATCCTGTGCTGGCCACATTGTGTGTCGAAATATTAAAATAAGCAAGAACGCGACATTGCCGGGCTAAAAAAGACCTGCACATGGTGGGCGTGTGCCGGTGTATATGTGATGGAGGGGTAAGGATGGAGATGCTGGAGGAGCAGGAGATATCTCCTCTCGGAACGCGGAAAATCAATAATTCTATTAAAGCTAAAGTTTGGCGCTCGCCGAATGCCGTGTGCCCGGGGGTTTCCAGTTTGAACTTTTTGAATATTTTCGCTGGGCTTCACACTGAAAAATTGCAGATAAATGATGTACGACATGGATATAGGATCTTCAATTTATATCGGAATAATTTTTCAAGAAAGCTAACCCAATAAAATTCGATTGGAACTGAATCTCTTTCCAAAAATACTAAAATGAAACTAACTGAAATGGAGTTTTATAAGAACTACTAGTTTTTCCTGGTTCAGTTTTAAAGATAATATCATAATTAGCTTAATTTTAATGTAAATATAATATTTATAAGAAAAACACTAAGGAAACTTAATTTAAAATATAATTCCTTTGATATTCCTTTTTTTATCAGTGCCGCGGAGCCAGCGTGGCGCTATAATGTGTGGCCAAGTGATACAACTTTAAGCGTTGAGTGGTGGGGGGGGGGGGGGGGGGTGGAAAATGGGGGAGGGGGGGTTGGAAAATGGAAAATGGACAGTGAGTCGGTTCTGGCCCCTTCCTGTTACCGCTATTACGGAATGTGGCGACCATCAGCCACGCTAAGAGCCCTCGTTGCCGTCATTGCCCCATCAACATCATCGCAGCCATCATCCGGAC